AAAATACAAAAAAGTAGCTGGGCATGGTGGCGCGTGCCTGTAGTCCCAGCTACTTTTTTGTATTTTTAGTAGAGACGGGGTTTCACCATGTTGACCAGGATGGTCTCGATCTCTTGACCTCGTGATCCACCCGCCTCGGCCTCCCAAAGTGCTGGGATTACAGGCTTGAGCCACTGCGCCCGGCCAGAAACTCTTATTACTTACAGGATTAAGCTTCTAAAATTCTCTGTAACTGCCCCATCATGCCCCTTCCTATGCACCTCTATAACCAAATTATTCCTCTGCTATTTACAAATACAAACCATCAGTTTTTTTCCTTATTTATTTACTTATTTTTGAGATGGAGTCTCACTATGTCGCCCAGGCTGGAGTGCAGTGGTGCGATCTCAGCTCACTGCAACCTCCAACTCCCGGGTTCAAATGATTCTCCTGCCTCAGCCTCCCAAGTAGCTGGATTACAGGTGCCCACTACCACACTGGCTAATTTTTATATTTTCAGTAGAGACGGGTTTTCACCATGTTGCCCAAGCTGGTCTCAAACTCCTGACCTCAGGTGATCGACCCACCTCAGCCTCCCAAAGTGCTGAGATTACAGGCATGAGCCACCGCATCCCACCCAAACCATCAGTTTTAACCAACTCAGCCTCCTCCCAGTCCCTGGTAAACATGATGCTCCATGATGTCTCTGGACACTGGGGATGCAGCCCCCACTTCTTGAAGTCCATCTCATCTCCACCTCCAAGAGATCTTCTCAGATTTCCTTACTGTAATCACCTGAATCGATGTGAAATGTTTACTTTTTTAACAGCTGGCTTTAGAGAGACAACTAAAGTCAGCTGTTAAAAAGCCAGCTTTTTTTCCTAGAGAGACAACTCTCTTTGTTCAGGAAAATACGTAGGATCCTAAGGACAAGTTTGCAAAGAAAAAACAAATAAGCAAAAAGGCAAAACTGCTCTGCATGAAATAAATAGGAACTGGCAGTGGGAAAACAGAAAAGATTGTAAGATTATAAAGGTTACAATTATAAAGGTTAAGGCCTGGGAGGAGTGGGGCAGGTGATATAGGAAAATCACTCTAAGAACAAGAATGTCTACTCAATGTTACACTCTTTGCTTTTCTTTCTTTCTTTTTTTTTTTTTTTTTTTTGAGACAGAGTCTCACTCTGTGGCTAGGCTGGAGTGCAGTGGCGCAATCTTGACTCACTGCAACTTCCACCTCCCAGGTTCAAGTGATACTCCCACCTCAGCCTCCCAAGTAGCCAGGACCACAGGTGCACGCCACCACAACTGACTAAGTTTTGTATTTTTAGTAGAGATGGATTTTCACCATGTTGGCCAGGCTGGTCTCAAACTCCTGGCCTCAAGTGATCCACCCACCTTGGCCTCCCCAAGTGCTGGGATTACAGGCATGAGTCACCACCCCTGACCTGTTTGCTTTGTTTTCCGTAAATCCCTCTTCCTGGTCCCAAACCTTAAGTCCTCCATCCACACAAATACTTGTTTCAACTTATGTGATGGGGAAAGAAAACCCAAACAGGAGCTACATTGTACGTCTTGGTCAGC